AGTTTAGTACAGCTATAGGCAGTATAGATTATTTAATTACCTTCAACTGCTTCACTAAGTTTTAACACTATACATACCTCCACTCCACTGCTTTCTAGTTTAGCAGTCAGCTTCTCTTCAGCTGGAGCATGAGAGTTCTGAAGTTTCCCATGCAAGGCAACTCCAGTCTGTTCCAAAAGAAAGCATGCCAGCCAGTATGAATACATAATCATGTAGGCGCACTCGAATCTGCTGGTAGTGACTCGTCACTCACATACACGCACGCACGCACGCACACACACACACTCGATACATACTCAGCCCGGTCTGCCCAGATCGACTGCATTGTCATAACTTTTTGTAGCCAAAGCACACACATGCGGCCGCACGCACGCACGCACGCACACACACAGACACACACACACACTCGCAGTACAGTGCTTAGAAATATGCCAACTGTAATGCAGCCTGTCCGGAGGCAATTTACTTCTAGCCATAATTCATAAACAATATGATAATACATTTAAGCTAACCAGAGAAACTCGTATAATAACTATTATGAAGAGTAATACAACACATATATTTACCTTGGTCCAGTACTTGTGCCTCGACACCCGGCTCTGCGCGGCCGCGTTCTGCGCGATCGAGCGCAGGCCCTCGCATACGACCACGTGCACCGTCAACCGCTTCTCGAGACTCCGCTCTCCGCTCGTGTGTCGCCGCCAGGTGGCGCATGCGAACTTCTGCTCGTGTGTCGCCGCCAGGTGGCGCATGCGAACTTCCGCTCGTGCGTCGCCGCCAGGTGGCGCATGCGAACCTCCGCTCGTGCGTCGCCGCCAGGTGGCGCAGCAGGTACAGCTCGTTCACGAAGCGATCGCCGCAGATCTCGCAGCGAAAAGCCTCGCCGTCTTCACAGCGGCAGGAGTGGTCCGTCATCGCCGTTCTCGTCGCAAAACACGCGTGGCACGTCTCGCAGTAGTATGCGCCCGACGCATCGTGGCAAGTCGTGTGGCGATCGAGCAGCCGCTGGTTCGCAAACGTCTTCGGGCAGTCGGCGCAGAAGAACGACCCCGAACTGGCGCTGGCCTCACACAGATGGTTCTGCAACTTCTCCTGGCATAGGAACATGAGCTGGCAGTCGGCACAGGTGAATTCCGCGGCGTGATCATCGAGGATGTGCACTCGCAGCTGGTCCTGGGTCTCATGGTTGCATCACAGATATTACACGTCTAATTCACATCCGCCGTGTCATCACCGAGGCGTCCCGAGTTTGGTACGAGTTTTTCAGTAGAGTCGTTCTTCTCACCTTCCTCGTCTATTTCTTCTCTATTCTTAACTTCTGAGATTACTCCTACTTCGTTGACGCCTTCGCCTTCGAGGTCACACATTGAGAGCACCGGAGTAAAGTTTGCAGAATCACTCCGCTCGAAACGTTTCGTGTCTTCGTCGAAGAACCGTTTTGGTTTCACGTTTCTGCGCCTGGATCTTAGAATATAACTAGTTGAGGGAGCTTCACAGCTATCAACAGTAGTTACTTTGCTCAGGTGTTAGGGGGTCAGTCGGTTTTGCCTCTTCGCTCACTGCTGGAGAGTTATCCAATTCTTTATCTGCTGCAGATGGAAGTTCAGAGCCTTCTTCAACCTCAGGGTTCTTCTGTTACACAAAATAGTTTGATTAGTGTTTGGATTTTTATGATAACTAATAAAGGCCATTAGAGTAAAACATAAAATTTTGCAGTAATTCAGATTGAAACTCAGAAGCCAAATATGAAACTACTGTGTAGGTGTTCCTTTGTAAACAATCAAGTAGAGTACTACTACTATAATACTATCATTGTATGATTAAAAATTACTCGTAACACCGTATATTACCTGTTTTCTTCTCGTGAATGTACCATGAACATTCCTGAGGTGAGCAACAAAATCAGGCCTTGTTGGAGAAACCACATTACATTTCTTGCAGTGAATGTTGAAATGATGAAGATGAGATTTCGGGCGTAGGGCTTTCTTCACTGAAATGATTACACGATCGACATTTATAGATAAAATGTGAATTAAATAAATACGTATTACAAATGAATTTTAACCATACACAATATGGAAAACCTTTGTCTACTTAACTGCCATATTGAGTCTAAACAATCTTTAACATATACGGTAGAAAATACATCTTTTATAGCTACTGCTGTCACATTTTACTTACCAGTATTTGCACTCTTAGGTATCTTTCCATGTATCTGGCAATGTCAAAGGTAATGGTTCTGCAGAAACAAAAAATGTAAAATAAACAAATCTGTCTCGAATCTGCTGGTAGTGACTCGTCACTCACATACACGCACGCACGCACGCACACACACACACTCGATACATACTCAGCCCGGTCTGCCCAGATCGACTGCATTGTCATAACTTTTTGTAGCCAAAGCACACACATGCGGCCGCACGCACGCACGCACGCACACACACAGACACACACACACACTCGCAGTACAGTGCTTAGAAATATGCCAACTGTAATGCAGCCTGTCCGGAGGCAATTTACTTCTAGCCATAATTCATAAACAATATGATAACACATTTAAGCTAACCAGAGAAACTCGTATAATAACTATTATGAAGAGTAATACAACACATATATTTACCTTGGTCCAGTACTTGTGCCTCGACACCCGGCTCTGCGCGGCCGCGTTCTGCGCGATCGAGCGCAGGCCCTCGCATACGACCACGTGCACCGTCAACCGCTTCTCGAGACTCCGCTCTCCGCTCGTGTGTCGCCGCCAGGTGGCGCATGCGAACTTCTGCTCGTGTGTCGCCGCCAGGTGGCGCATGCGAACTTCCGCTCGTGCGTCGCCGCCAGGTGGCGCATGCGAACCTCCGCTCGTGCGTCGCCGCCAGGTGGCGCAGCAGGTACAGCTCGTTCACGAAGCGATCGCCGCAGATCTCGCAGCGAAAAGCCTCGCCGTCTTCACAGCGGCAGGAGTGGTCCGTCATCGCCGTTCTCGTCGCAAAACACGCGTGGCACGTCTCGCAGTAGTATGCGCCCGACGCATCGTGGCAAGTCGTGTGGCGATCGAGCAGCCGCTGGTTCGCAAACGTCTTCGGGCAGTCGGCGCAGAAGAACGACCCCGAACTGGCGCTGGCCTCACACAGATGGTTCTGCAACTTCTCCTGGCATAGGAACGTGAGCTGGCAGTCGGCACAGGTGAATTCCACGGCGTGATTATCGAGGATGTGCGATCGCAGCTGGTCCTGGGTCTCATCGTTGCATCACAGATGGTACACGTCCAATTCACATCTGCCGTGTCATCACCGAGGCGTCCCGAGTTTGGTACGAGTTTTTCAGTAGAGTCATTCTTCTCACCTTCCTCGTCTATTTCTTCTCTATTCTTAACTTCTGAGATTACTCCTACTTCGTTGACGCCTTCGCCGTCGAGGTCACACATTGAGAGCTCCAGTGTAAATGCGCCCGTTCTGATTTTACCGTCTTGTGCCGCCACCAAGCGGGAAGAAAAACTAACAATAAGTGCTTTCACCCTGTACACCGGGTCAGTGTATTTTAGGCGCTTACGGCTGCCAGCCATTTCGATATTATCCGTTTCAAACTACGATTTCTGGAAGAACCAAAGAGATTTTACGCATATTCGGGAAAGCATGTATTCGGAAAAGTATATTCAGGCATATTCAGGCTTATTCAGAAAGTATTCGCATATTCGATAGAACATCCGCATATACGATTCCACATATTCGTTCCGTTGATATGAATAAATACGATGTTGTAAATCTTCGTTCTTGTCAAGTAATTTTGAGAGGTTGGCAGCCACAACCAGAGTAAAGTTTGCAGAATCACTCCGCTCGAAACGTTTCGTGTCTTCGTCGAAGAACCGTTTTGGTTTCACGTTTTTTGCGCCTGGACCTTGGAATATAACTAGTTGAAGGAGCTTCAGAGCTATTCTGAGCTTTGCTCAGGTGTTAGGGGGTCAATCGGTTTTGCCTCTTCGCTCACTGCTGGAGAGTTATCCAATTCTTTATCCGCTGCAGATGGAAGTTCAGAGCCTTCTTCAACTTCAGGGTTCTTCTGTTACACAAAATAGTTTGATTAGTGTTTGGATTTTTATGATAACTAATAAAGGCCATTAGAGTAAAACATAAAATTTTGCAGTAATTCAGATTGAAACTCAGAAGCCAAATATAAAACTACTGTGTAGGTGTGTTCCTTTGTAAACAATCAAGTAGAGTACTACTACTACAATACTATCATTGTATGATTAAAAATTACTTGTAACACCGTATATTACCTGTTTTCTTCTCGTGAATGTACCATGAACATTCCTGAGGTGAGCAACAAAATCAGCCCTTGTTGGAGAAACCACATTGCATTTCTTGCAGTGAATGTTGAAATGATGAAGATGAGATTTCGGGCGTAGGGCTTTCTTTACTGAAATGATTACACGATCCACATTTATAGATAAAATGTAAATTAAATAAATATGTATTATAAATGAATTTTAACCATACACAATATGGAAAACCTTTGTCTACTTAACTGCCATATTGCGTCTATACATTCTTTAACATATACGGTAGAAAATACATCTTTTATAGCTACTGCTGTCACATTTTACTTACCAGTATTTGCACTCTTAGGTATCTTTCCATGTATCTGGCAATGTCAAAGGTAATGGTTCTGCAGAAACAAAAAATGTAAAATAAACAAATCTG